ATGCATGCCCATGTTAGAAGAGAATAGAGTAAAAAAAAGAAATTTTGAAATAAAGACAACAGGGCCTTTCATGTGAAGTCACAGTTGGGATGTGGGAACTTCTCTGGCAGCCCAGACATCCTACCCCAGAGGCACAAGGAAATTTGGATGGAGAGGAGAGGAAGAACAGAGTAAATGGATTTCAAACCTATGCAGGAAGCATGGAGTATTCTGAAAATTCCGAGTACTATGAGAGACAGGGAGTTCAATGAAATGGCTATTTAAAATCCTGTTGCCGACCTCTCATTCATAAAAACAGCTAAATTACAGTGTATCGTGGGTGTGTTTCCTCACCCAACCCATACACCCAGTTATTTAAATCTTAAAATGGGTCTCACTTAAATCTTGTCTTCCAAACATCCTTTTCCCACTGAAAGACCAGTGCTGCACAACCACCCACCCCATGATCGGTGTCTTCTGCACAGAAAGTTAGGAATCTTATATAAGCATCTAGAATTCTTCAGTCACAAATAATGACGTCAAAATCAATACTTGCTCTGTGTGAACTTCAATTATTGTATAAATCCAAAGCAAATTCAAACTCCAGTCAATAAAGAACAGAGACCTGGCAGATGAAGGAGAAGTCTACTGGCAGATCAGCCTCTCAACACTTACTTCCCTGGACACAATGTAGGTAACAAGCTCTGACAAAAACAATAGCTCTGAGCTCTTCATTTTCACTCTGCCATGTGACCCTTAGCTGAACTGATCCATGAACATTTCTGGATGTTGCACCAGGGGGCAGAGAGCTCACAGAGGCTGCGGGTGCTGCAAAACGTCCTACCAAGCACCAGATGCACCTCCCCTCACACACACACACCCACTACACAATGATTCTGTCCCAAATGTTAACAGTGTTGACATGGAGAGCTAGTTGTTTCAGGAATAAAATTTCGTTTTTTCCTTTTATGTCCTGGATTGTGTGTGTGTGTGTGTGTGTGTGTGTGTGTGTGTGTGTGTGTGCGCGCACATGTGAGAAGAAGCCAGATGTTGGCTTCAGGCATCTTCTTGTGTTGCTCCCCACCTTACTTTTTGAGATAGGATCTCTCACTGGACACCTGCCAGCCAGGAAGCCCCAGGGATCCAACTGTCTTCACCTCCCTAGCCCTGGCATTATAAGCATGCACCATGTCTAACTTTTCCTGGGTTTTAGGGGAACTTGGGGCACCTGCTTATATGACAAGCACTCTGCCAACCAAGGCTTCTGTACAGTTTTGGAGTCAGGGAGTACAGGGACGTTCAAACTAACACCTGTACTTTTCTCATCACTGATGAAATACCTGACAGGAGCCATTAAAGGAGGAAAATCCTGGCTTGGCTTGCAGTTCAGAGCACTCGGTCCACAGCTCCTCGGCCCACACACTTGAGGAGGAGATCTGAAGACAGGAAATGGTCAGACACAAGACAACCTTGAAGACTGTCTGGGTGACCTCCTTTCTCCAGCTAGGTCCTGCTTCCTGAGTTCTCCAGGTCCTCTCCACATAGTGTCACCAGCTGGGGCTCTGGCTTTCACACATGCACTATGGAGGGCATCTCGTATTTAAACCATAGCATCTTGGTATCATTAAAATATCTTCTGTCCATTTAAAATAAATGTACAGAAGGACAATGGCCAGAAGTTTAGATGCTTTACTACGAAACCTAGTATCCTCTTCTGACACAACTCTGTGTGAGGCTCTAGTTGCTGACTTAATTATTGAAATGTCCAAATAAAAAGGCTGCTTGAATACATTAAAAAGGATTTCTTGAAGTATATAGACCCAAAGACTTCAACATAGCTTTGGGGGTGGATGTTGGATGGGAAATGTCCCCATAGGCTCAAGTATTTGCATAGCTGGTGATATTGTTTGGAGGAGGTCATGGAACCCTTAGGCAGTGTGGCATTCCTGAAGGAAGTGTCTCACGGGGGATGGGGGGGCGGGGGGGGGTCTTAGAGTTCAGAGCCTTGAGCTACATTCAGCTTGCTCTCTCTGCTTCATGTGGGGTTAAAGTTATGAGCTCTCAGTTTCCAGCTCCAGCTGCCTCCTGCCACACCTCCCCACCATGATGGACTCTTAGCCCTCTAGAACCATAAGCCAAAACAAATTCTTCCATAAGTCACTTTTGGTCAGGTGTTTTATCACAGCAATGGAAAGTAACATACAATGTATGTTTGAGTGTGTGTGTGTGTGTACATGCTCATGTGTGTGGGGCATGCATGTGGGTACATATGCACTTTGGTGTGGGTACATCTGGAAGCTAGAGGTCAGCATCAGGAGTCATCCACAACTGCAGTCTGCGTTACTGTTCTGCTTTGCTTTGAGACAGGGTCTTCTTACCTAACCTGGAGCTCGCCAATTAGCTAGGCTGGCTGGCCAGTGAGCTCCACGGATCTGTCTGTCTCTACCTCTGGAGTTTATATTCTTGAAGATAAACCTTTACCCTCGCAACCTCTCACAGAGACATAGCCACACAAACACAACCGACATACCAACTCCAGCGATGTCCAAGTTGATTGACTCTAGGTGAAAGACTAGGTAAGCCTCACATTGGCTTGAAATGAAGACCGCAGAAGGAGCTGGGGTTTAACCCTTTCCTGAAAGCAGAGAGCCAGCCCCTCTACCGCACCTGGAGACTAATTAGAAGGTCTTTGACGTGCTCATCTGTCCTCTGCCCAAGAGCTTGGTGGAGCCATCCTAACATACAGAGAACTTGGTGAAAAATAATTTGCCGCGATGTAACTTGGTGTAAGCTCAGGTCATGTCCCGATCTTGCCAAGTGAACACGGCTGCCAAAGTTCCTTCCTGTAGCCGCAGCCTTCAGACTGATGGGGCGCTCACCTGCTTCTCCCGCTGCCCTTGATCCTCCCTCATTTCCTCTGGGTTTTAAGTGTGTTGTGGCGGCTTTCAGGAAGGGCTCCATGCTGGAAAGCATTGGTTTCTCCGGATCCCTTTTGAGCAGTCACACTTGAGCTCCACAGCTCCTGCGAGGAAGAAAGGAGGTGGAGTCTGGATCAGGGTAGGGATGTGATGTCCCAGCATGCAGAGACATGCTGCCCCGTCCGAAGAAAGAGGTCAGAAGTCCAGTCATGCTCTGTGCTATTGGCCTTCCATCCATCAGCTGCTGTTCTAGGGCAGATTTCCACTGCATAGGATGGATGCACAAGGGCAAAGGGGTTCATTCATAATCCACAGACGCTCACCCTACCCAGGTTTTGAGAGCAGTCTGCCTGGACTGGGGACAGGCAGGAACATGTCCTCAGAGAACAGTGTCCCAAGAGACCCTAATGACAGTAGTTTTTATTGTTGTTTTGTTCTTTTTGGGTTTGTTTTTTTGTTTTGTTTTGTTTTGGTCTTTTTGAGACAGGGTCTCCCTGTAGCCCCAGCCATCCTGGAACTCACTATGTAGACCAGGCTGGCCTTAAACTCACAGAGATCCACCTGCCTCTGCCTCCTGAGTGCTGTGATTAAAGGCGTGCGCCACCATGCCCAGCCCAGTTTCTGCTTTCTTAAACTAAAGCTGGGTGTGGTAGCACACGCCTTTAGTCCCAGCACTTGGGAGGCAGAGGCAGGTGGATCTCTGTGAGTTTGAAGCCAACCTGGTCTACATAGCTAATTCAGGTCAGCTGGGGCTACAGGGAGATCCTGTCTCAAAAAGACCCCCCTCCCCCAAAAAGTGAAAAACTAGGATTGAGAGAACTGCATCATCTTTATTAAAATCAGGCGAACTAAGGGAGCCTCTGTTAGCCAATATACTTACACCACAGGAATGTGTTTAATCCCAATCCTGCCTGGTGCAATCCCCAAAAGAAAACAGGCAGACAACAGCAATGCTTGGCAAAGGGCATTTTCAGGTCTGGGCAGAAATCTAGAAACTACTAGTCAATGATGTTATGTTGAACTGAATCCTCACCTCAATGTAATCATATAAAAACTCTGAAGACTTCTTTCGTAAAAGTGCTATCCTTAGATCAAAGATGGTTAGGGTAAGAGATGGGAAGCATCTCACCAAGCCCACAGCCACAACACCGCAGCTCATTTTGTATAATGACAGATCGTTTGAGCATTGATTTTACTCACGAAACTAAATTCACTCATTATGTAACACTGCATTGCTTATTAGGTTTAGTGAATAAATTATAAAAGTTTAAATCACAAAATTAATTATAGAACGAAACGCAGGCTCTTACTGCATGTCAAGAATAATGTGCTTTCTCCTCAGGTGAATAATCCTAGATAAATATGAAGCTAATCATAATATCTCTAAATCATCTTCTAGAATTAGAACACTGAACAGTGTGTTTGGCTGTACCTCTGTGCGTAGCTATTTACGGCATCATGCTCACATAATGTTTACACTACGCTCCTTCACCTTACAAAATCAAGTTTGTATGTCTATCTAACTTGGTAAGCAAAATTAGCCATCAGAATTAAATTGCTTCGCTATAGTAACCAGTGCCTGGATATTTTAGCTAATTATTTTTTCATCATATTTTTCCTATATTTCTATGAATATCTTAGAAATAAGTAAATTTGGGGCTAGGAAAATGGCTCCGTGGGTAAGAGTGTTTGCTTTGAAAACATGGCGAACTGAGTTCAAATTCCCAGCACAATATAAAAAGCTGGGAATGGCCACATACACATACCTGTAACCCTAGTGCCATTGGGGGTGGAAACAGGGGATCAGTGGACTTGCTGACTAACAGCCCAGCTCCAGGTTCAGTGAGAGACCCTGTCTCAAGGGAAAAGGTAAGACAGTGATGGAACAGGACACCAGGGATTCTCCTCTGCCCCCCACACATTCGCTCACATAGACATCATACACAAAAAAATAAGCAAAATCTATCCAGTTGATCCTTGACAGTTATGGATCCCATACAGTTGATGGTTATATGTGATTTACAATAAGAAAAACTGGGTTGAAGAGATGGCTCAGCAGTTAAGAGCACTGGCTGTACCTACAGAGGACTCAGGTTGGATTCCCAGCACCCACATGGTGGCTAATAACCATCAGTAACTCCAGTTCCAGTGGACCCAATGCCCTCTTCTAACATCCACAGGCACTGCACCTACCTGCATGCAGACAATATGCTCAGACACATAAAAAATAAAAATAAAATATTTTTAAAAAGTCATTCATCCCTCGCATCATGGATATTCAACTTAATTTTATGTAATAGGAAAAATAGTGAGTCAAAATGTAAATGCTCTTTATACAGAGCCAGCTGCGAAGTTCCTCACAGCCACAAACTACTGAACATCATGTCGTGAGCAGATTTATCAGTCTCCAGGGAGTTTCAAGTGATTTAAACATGAGCATTTTGCCGTCCCGGGACAAACCCCCAAATTAGCAAATTTTGGGTACTAAGTCAAAGAAGTCCCCACTATAGGATGTCACATTTGTGGAGGAGAGTGGATCACAAAAGGTGATGGGCTCTTAGGCAGAGAGGAAAGAGAAATATTCTAACACAATAGCATGAGCATAGAATTTCCTGAGAGGAAAACACCGTAGAAGGTGACAGCAGAGAGCCTTGGGCTCCACTGCGTCACTGCAGGTGATTCTCCTTCTCTCGGTGGATTCATGCCTGATATGGAAAATGTCTCACCCAAATTCAAGTGCACCAGGCCAACAGAAAATGTTCAAGAAGGAAGAAAAGAGAGGAAGGAGAAAAAGACACCGAGGAAGAGGAGGGAAGGAGGGAGAGGAGGAGCAGGAAAGAGGAGAAGAGGAAGGCAGAGAGGAAGGGCAGCACGCAGCCCTGCTCAGCATTCCCCAACGACAGAAGGACAGAAACAGAGATGGGGTGGAAGGGCCCCGAGCGTCAATGAAGCTGGTTCTCGTGTTGAGTTTGGCCAGCTGTGAGGTATTGTAACATTTTCTACTATGTCAGCACTCCGAGCTTGCTGGGTCCTGCCCCTCCATATCCACCTGCATCTATCCCACCCACTATCCATCTGCTAAAAGATTAGGCACAGATATTGATCGTGACCAGCATAAGTACTTCTACTCCTATGTGGAGAACCATTCATAATGACATAGCACCTCTTAAACCATACTGAGACAATCAGGAAGGGACACTTTCTCCCAGCAGAAGCCGAATGAAGACAGAGTCCACCTGTAGTCCTTTATCCTCACAGTCTCCTTGGTACTGTTCAATAAATACCTGCTGAACAAGCTAGCATGAAATCTTCCAAAGAAAAAGACTCAAATAAAAAGAACTCATTTATATATTTTCTCCCTCCTATCATTAGACTTAAAAGGACTCCTAAAGACAGAATATTTTTAAAATATAACAAGAAATATGTCTCCAAACAGAAAAACAGTCTCATACAAACTACCACAAGGGCCAAGAACATAACAAATTACAGGCACGAAATGCCAGTCTCTACATGGTATTTCCTTCAGCTCTTGCGGGTTTCCCAAGATTTGTTTTTTGTCAGGGGGTGGTTCCAGCTGAGGACCAAGACGACACTGGGACACCTTTGCACACAAATACAAAAATCTTTCCCTTTCTCCACATAGTCAGAGACACAACACCTGGCTAAAACTTTGAGTTCATGGAAGAATACCCAAAGAGCTTTACCAGACTGTTCCAAATGACCGATTTACTAAAATCCCTTCCCACCCTCTAAGTATGCCTCAAGTTATATTTTACAATGACTGTCTTAAAAACAATGTGCATTATTTATAATAAACAAAAAAATATAAGTTTGGAAATAGGCATAATGAAAATATTTCCTAAATCAACTGAAGCCAAAGTTGAAGTTCTCAGGGAGCCACAAGCCATTATCTCAGCAGGCTTGGAGCAGCAGTGCGAGGTGGCCATGGAGCCAGAGGGTCTGGACTTCAACTCCAACCAGCTTCATAACTTTGTCAAGTGATGTATCCTGTGTGCCTGGTAAGGGGTTCAGGCAGACAGAGCAGACAGAGGCATGCCCAGCACACACCTAGGAATGGTTGGAATTAGCACTGAGGGGTCAACTCCAGGTGTCCTTGCTTCTGGGTTGTTTGAGCAAGGCATCTTGAAGCTGAGAAATGCTTCTCCCTGAGCATGTCTCTGTCTGGCAACCTGAGTTCGAATCCCCAGAACCCATGTAAAGTCAGGTGTGGTGGTGTGAGTCGTGAGTCTGTCATCCCAGGCCTCCTGTGGTCTGATAGGACAATCTCTGGAAGCTCACAGGCCAGCGAGCCTGGTGGACAGAGGGACCACCAATAAAAGAGAAACCCTGTCTCAAACAAGGGGTATCACAACTTAGCAATACAGTTGCTTCCTCTCAAGATTGGACGGCAGAGTGAGAGCTGTGATTTGCTCAGTGTGGCTGGCCAGCATCACCAGGGTTGTACCCCATATTGTTAACCCGGGACCTTTCCACTGGCTTTCCTGCAGGCCCCAAGAGTATACACTCACAAACTTTGGAGCCACTTGCAACAGAAGAACGTAAGAACATGGCGCTTACTCACATAAGCTCGGAGCCAGCTAACTTGCCTCTCAGCTGACATCCTTATCTGTCTAATAAAAGTCGTCATGCCACAATCATTGCAGCTCAGGTTTTTGGTAAGCCAGAGCTAATGCAGCAATAAAAACCCACGACATCTTTCAGTCTCTGTCTCCCAGTCTCTCCCACAACCTCTGAGTCAGCTATGACTCACCTCAAGCTTCCAACAGTCTCCGCTGTTCTCTCCCTTCTGAGAGAAAAAGATACGAAGGAAAGGAAAACAACCTTTTACTTCTTTAAAAAAAAAAAAAAAA